AAGACCAGAATCAGAACCTACTTCTGTTTGTTTGTTTTATTCAAATCCTAGGTTCTTCACATCACAATCTAGAAACTGCTTCTATAATAAGTTTAAGCCTGAATGAGCAATAACACAATTAGAGACAGATATTGGGCACAAATATGCTGTTTTTTTTTTTTAATTTTATTATGTTATGTTAGTCACCATACAATACATCATTAGTTTTTTTTTTTTTTTTTTTTACACAAATATGCTGTTTTATCCTCCATGTTCTTCAGGGGCACAGTGAAGTTTAAAAAAACAAACAAACAAACAAAAAAACCCACCAAAAACCCAGCTGCTTGATATGCAAAGTAAGGGAAATCACCCAGCTTCTTCCTGACAACAGGGCTGTAGAGTGTGAGAACAAGTAGATCATCCTCGCAAACAAATAATAAATTTTTACAAGCTGGCCCACCTTCCTGCCCAGGAGGTAAACACCTAGCTGCTAAGTAATTTATTTCTTCCTCTGCTCACTAAAAGCTCTGTTTCCTTGAAGAGCCGCTATACTTCCCAGTTTATCTGCAAATGGAGTTGGAGTTCTGTCCCCCAATTTTTCTTTAAACACCCTTCCACCTAGGTGACACAGGAACATAATGTGCTCTTTTCTGCTAGGTAAACTCTCTTTCACACGTATTTTGTAGTTACTTTTTCTCATCTACCCTTTTTCTTTATTACAGAGGTTGCATAATGAGATGACCAAAAATACATGTAAAGAGGGGACAAAAGCAAGATCACCTTTATTTCTCCTGCTCCAAACGCAACACAAAGAACATCATTTCTAAACATGGCCTCTGCCAGTCTTTCTGCCACCGGTATTTTGACCATGGCCTGTCCTTACACAGTGGAATAATATTATGCACATGTTCTGAACTGTGTTGTCACTTACATCATAAAATATAAAATATAATTTGTCCCCATTACTACAAAAGGGTGTTCCACTATTTAGTCTTATTGTTTTCTAAGAATTATTCAAATTTTTAGGATTATAAACAGTTATGTCATAAAAGCGTTTTTGGTAGTCAGGATTACCTTCAAAGGATTTGAAGGCAGAGTCCCTGAAGTAGTCATATGGGGTCAGCGTCTTGGGCATTAACACCATAAAATTTCTTTCCCAAAAGATTATAGCAATTGAAGCTCTGGTAGGAGTATGTAAGAGTGCCTGGGTATCACTCTTTTACGATCTTTTAAACTAGAGCATGCCCACTGTCACCAGGCATACTGCAGAAGTAAAATGGATTGGATGTAACAAAGCAGCCTTAAGTGAAAATTTGCTGAAAATCCTGTCTGGAAAATAAATCTAATTGCTGTATTTAACAGTGAAAGCCAAAAGAAGCATCCTACCACTATTATTACATTATTATTAACATTAGAAAGGTACTTCATTTGCCAAAGCATTTTATAATCATGTATTGGTTAATCCCCATAACATGCCTCGGAAGCAATGAAGCTATTTATAGCCGGACTTTCTGAGCGAAGTCTTTCAAAAGTCCTTTTGTCTTGATATCTCAAGTCATTATCACCAGCACATCAATTCACATTCTCATTTGTCGAATTTCAAGGATGGGAGGGACTGAAGTGGTCATCTGAACCAAGATCAAGTAGTCACTGACGTGGCGTGCAGAATTTTCCTAATGCATACTAAGAATTTGCTTTCTTCTCAACTCCCCATGCCTCCACAAAGGCATGGCATGCCATCAGGGGCCAATTATAAATCTGCTATTTTTTTTTTTTAAAGATTTTATTTATTTATTTGAGAGAGAGAATGAGATAGAGAGAGAGCATGAGAGGGGGGAGGGTCAGAGAGAGAAGCAGACTCCCTGCTGAGCAGGGAGCCCGATGTGGGACTCGATCCCGGGACTCCAGGATCATGACCTGAGCCGAAGGCAGTCGCTTAACCAACTGAGCCATCCAGGCGCCCTAAATCTGCTATTTTTAAATGTAACATCTTTGTGCTACACAGCGACTGTAGGAGTAAAAGTTGACACTCAATGGGGTTCCTCAGGGTTTCAGCGACTACTGGAATTATTTGATTTGTAGCTAAAGCAACAGCAATATTTATGCCCAACAACACCAAACATTTTTATGGCTTTAAAATTTGCCATAATTGAGAAACAGCACAAGTGACTATCTGTAATCATGCAAATACTCTTTTCTAAAAAGGGGGCGCCCCCCCAACCAGGGAGGGATCGAGTTCTTTCGTGGTGACAAGAAATAAACACAAAAAGGTTGAGAACCACTCCTCTAATTCAGTGCTTAGAAGACAAAATGCCTGGTTTCAAGCAGCAGATGAAGGCTGCAGAACCATAAGGAGTCTCAAAAATGGCACAGGGGCGACGGTGGTATACAAAGGGCTTCTCATCTTATGTCAAAGACGGGAGGTTGAGCCCTGCTTGGTCATTCTTTATTTGGTATTACCATTTCCTTCTGAGACGTGCAGCTGAAATCCCAATGCCAACTGCACAGTCTATGAGGAGGGAACGGAGAGCCCCCACCACTAGCCGACAGGGTTCTCTACTTGGTGGTTACTCATTTCTCCCCTTTCCCCACTCTGGCGTTGGGTGGGGGGAGGCAGGGAATCCCCCCACTCCTGGGTGGGGAGCAGATCTGCTTGCTGACTATAAGCAGAGCAGGGCACCCAGGAAAAGACCCACCAGGTGGTTCAGTACAACTGAGCTAATAAATTTTGCCTTCAACCTAATAAATTCTGGGGTGCACGGATTCACAGCAAAAGTTAAGTGACCTAAGAACTAAAGCCTAAAGGGTTAAAATGACCTGCTGAAAGTCACTCAGTATAAAGTGGCATGAGCGTGTCATCAAACCCGGTGTGAGCTAGATCTATTAGTTAACTGGTTGAATAACTAAATCTTCAGGTTATTTATTAATGAAGTTTCCCAGATTCACTAGTTAAACAAGTAAACATTGACTGAGCATCTAACACTTGTGAAGTCCTTCCCTAAGATACGGAGAATCCAGAAATATAAGGCATGGTTTCTGTCCCCAGAAGTCCCATATTCTACTACAAAAGACACACCGTGAATAAATAAAAGACAATGTACTAAGTACAGTGATAGAAAGATGCACAGGGTATTGTGGGCTAGGAGAAGGCAGAGCCCTAGCCCAGACTGACCGGTACTGGTGGGTCTCCTGTTAGAAGGATAAGGAGTTCGCAAAGTTGTGAGGCGAAAGAGGAGGGAGGAGGTGAGAAAGGGACAAACAGCGCAGCATGGGGACGACAACAGGCAGGGCACACCTGCGAGAGGGTGAAAGCTATGAGCAGGTCAGTGTTGCTGGAGAGTAAAGCCCCAGCAAGGGGAAGAGAGAGAAAACGTGCTGAGAATAACAGCAGGCCCTGATGGTCTGTGTGGTCTCTAACCTGATGGTAAAGAGACTCGATTCTCTCCCCTCCATGACGAGAAGCCAATGAAAGGTTTGAAGATATCAGATTTGCCTTTCTGAAATATCACCTGGCCTTAGAGGCTGGCTCTGTGCGGACTGGAATGTCACGTGCAGGAGAGAGAACATGCAGACCTCAACTGTGCCAGGTGCAGTAGGGATGAAGAGAAAGGGATGGAACTAAAACTATGAAGAGGGAGAACCCCCAAGTGCATCACAGAGGGGCTGGGTGGGGGTCTGAGAGAGAAAGTGGAACCAACGGTCAGTTTCTTGCACGGCCTGCCGGTCTCGGGTGCCCACCACGCCTCCCATCTCTGCTTCGGCCACTGACCGCCAGATTTGGGCATTAACTTCACATTGATCTTTGTTTTGTTGAGCTCTAAGAGCTTTTCACCACTGTTCCTACTGCTCAGAACCTTCTGGATCTTGGCTACAGCTATGGATAAGCTTCATCTAAACCCTCGGTAAGAATGTTAGAACAGAGCCAAGGACACTGGCTGGAACTACACATTCAATTCTGGATACACTGTCAGTAAGTCTAGATATCCATCAAGCTGAACAGTGAAAACAGAAGAAAGTCCCTGTTAAAAAGTACAAGCAAGTGGCAGGAGTTTAACTTGGACGAGATGACTCGGGAGAGGCAGGATCACTTCCAGGTGGAAAAGGACCCCATCGTTCATAGGGCCATTTCCATGGGGATCCACTAGGACCCAAAGACAGCAGCTTATGGGTTGGAAAACTTTGGTTTAATATAAGACAGGACTTTCTGATGGTTAGAAACGCCCAGACGTGGGACAGCCTACGTTGGAATACAGTAAGCAACCTCTGTGAGTTTGCTAGAGCTGTCCTAACAAAATACCACACACTGGGGGTGCTTAAACAACAGAAACTTAGTTTCTGTGGTTCTGGCGGCTGAAGTCTGAGATCAGATGCCTGCAGGGTTGGGTTCTCCTGAGGCCTCCCTCCTGGGCTTGGAGATGGTTTTTGTTCTGTGTGAGGCTGTCTCCCAATCTTCCCTCCTTATCAGGACACCAGTCATATTAGACGACAGTCCATTCGTATTGCCTCAGTTTAACTGAATTACCTCTTAAAGGCCAATCTCCAAATACAGTTCGCATCCTGAGTTACTAGGGGCAAGGGCTCCAACAGATCAATTTTACGGGGACACTGCTCAGTCCATCACGCAACCTATCAACAGGGGCGTGTACACAGAGGGGTCTGGTGACTGTCAGGCAAGGGAAGGCCAAGGAAGAAACGGAAGCCTCAAATCTGGAGTGTCCCTGATGGGTCCCCTTAGGTCTAAGAGCTACAATCCTAAACATTGTGGGACTGCACCTCATTGCTCCTATTAAACATCATTAACACAAAAATCTCCCCAGGGTTTCAGACAAAAATCACATTTTCACGGCAGCTGCAATGACTGATGAGAAATGTTGCTCTTCTGTACCCCTCCCCCGAGGAAGCGTGCAGGCTGGCGGTCACACGCACGAGTCACATGCACGAGTCACATGCACGAGTCACATGCACAAGCCGCGCACCCAAGCCTCACGCACCAGCCCGCAGGGTACCGCGGGAGCGCTTACCTGTGAAAGAGAACGGACTTGACCAAGGTGACAACGTCGCGGCTGGCGTTATACCCGGCACAGACGATAGCAACGTGGATTGTCTAGGAAGCAAAGAACACAGGGCAAGCAGTCAGACAGATGGAAGAGGGCCTTCTTGGTGCTTCAGACCACGTGGGAAAGAAAAATCACCCTGATCTCTTGTGGGGATCGTTAGAAAACAAAGGGCAGAGTTCGCAGCTGTGGGAAATAACTTGAGATGGTTTTATTAAGGCCCTTTTAATCGGTTTATGGAGCTATCATCATTTGGAAAACATTAAGGTTCTTTGCAATTACATTTTGGGGACGAGAGAAAGGGCGATCGGCTCAAACAGGCAAATGGTGAGTCTCCTACCCCCACGCTGGGAGACCGTGACAACTGGTGACAAGAGAGATGAAAGAAATACATCCCGAAAGGAAGAACTGATAGTCAGGGATCTTAGACTGAGAAGCAATGGCTCAGAGGTGGGAAATGTTCTTGCTCTTGCAAGAACATTGTCTCAGATTAGGGGTGCCTGACTGGGCCAAGAGACCAATGAACGTCTATAAGCGTACATCTATAAAAAGGGCCCCAGCTGGGACATCATTCCAAGAACTGAAGACTGGCAGAATTAAAGGGAACCCTATGGCCCATCTCCTCTGGCTCTGTCCTTTAGCTCCGGGTGACCCTGGGAAAGTGGTGGCATCAGGTGACTCACAGTAATACAAGGGCCATGGCACGTCCTGCAGGAGGTCATGGAGTACGTAAGGGGATAATACCAAGAGCAGAATATGGTGCTCGGCACACTGCCAATCACAGCAGAGATGATCTCTAGAGCTGAGCTTCCCAAAGGGGAGGTCCCTTGGCACCCTGGTGTGCTGTACGTGAGTTACAGGATACAAAGTCACTTATTTCTTCAAGCAAGAGCTCAAGGCTACCGGGCAGGGCTGGCTCCCTCAGGCTGGGCTACCCTCTGAGCTTCAGCAACTTGACAAAGATTGAGAAGCCCTGGTCTAGTGCAGTCCATACAGAAAGTCATCCAGCCTCTCAAAACAGCTCGAAGAATGAAGGGTTCACACCTCTCGATGTATCTTTTACCGATGTGCAGCCTTCCTTGACCTGAAAACAGCCTCCTAATACCCACCCCCCCTTGCTCTGTCCTGGGAGGACTGCAGAACAAGTACGTTCCCTCCAGCACCCAATACCTAATGAAACTACTCACAGCCCTTGTTCCCATGGCACAGCTTCTGGACCCCCGTTATTCTAATCATGCAGTTCAAAACCCAGTTCTGTTGACTCTATGCACCGCTTTTGCAACTCCCTAGGAGTCTAGAATTACTTTAAAGTAAAAAGTAAAAAAAAGCGGGGGAAAGGGAAGGGAAGAAAAATGCAGTTCTGATATCCTGGTCTCTGCCCTACAGGCTTTCAGGACAATGACCTCTGGCTCCCAGGCCTGCTTCACCACCCCACCCACAACATCATCAAGGGAAGTTACTCGGGCTTAGACAGGTGGGATTCAAACTCTGGGACAGAGATTCTTCACCCTTATAACATACCAGAAACACCAGAAAGATTTTTAAACTACACCCTGTGCCCCGATCCCACCTCAGACCAATTAACTCACAATCTCTGATGGCCAGGATCTAAAATTCCTCTGCTGGAAGCCAGTGGTTCTCAATAGGAGGCAAAAGTCATCCCCCCTGCCCTGCCCAGGACATCAGACAAAGTCTGTCTGGAGTCATTTTTGGTGGTCACTCCTGGGGACGTGCGGGGCTATGACATCAAGTGGGCAGGACCAGAGATGCTGCTCGACCCCTTACGAGGCACAGGGCAGCTCTCACGGTAGAGAATTACCCTGCCCCAAAGCTCACAGGGCTGTTGTGAGGAAATTCAGCTTTCAGAAAGAAGCAAGAGGGCGTGTGGGGAAACTCAGACCTGCGAGCTCCCAACCCAACCTCGTCTCACATAAAATTAGACCATATTGGGGCGCCTGGGTGGCTCAGTTGGTTAAGCGACTGCCTTCAGCTCAGGTCATGATCCTGGAGTCCCAGGATCGAGTTCCGCATCGGGCTCCCTGCTCGGCGGGGAGTCTGCTTCTCCCTCTGACCCTCCCCCATCTCATGCCCTCTCTCTCATTCTCTCTCAAATAAATAAATTAAAAATTAAAAAAAAAATTAGACCATATTACGCGTATCTTAATTTCTCCACCTGTAAAACGAAGACACCATCACTTATCTCTGGATATTATCTCCCAAAGACTCAGCGAAAGACTGTAAAGCGGAATGCAACTGTCACCATTTAAATCATGAAGGAAATGAATAGGAAAACGCCTGTCCGTGGGAGACATAGCCAGGAAGGGGACAAGAATGGATAAAAGCTGAATCAGGCTCTTTGGAATCACAAATATTTAAACACGTGGCCTCCCAGATATCAAACTTTGTCTTGGCTTCAGGGTTCAGGGGCTTTTTAAAATGGGCCCATTAAATGTAAGCACAAGTGCGCACATTCACAAACATTTAACATAATTTTCCAATCTCTTTAGTTTCGTCCAATACACCTGCCACCATGAATAAATTCATCATCTGGAGCCGTGGAGCCCAGGCCCTGTTCCCCGGGAATGCAGAAAATCAGGAGTGCCGTGAACATGCTGTGGGCTTCCTTAGAAAGGAAGGAGGAGTTCTGGATGGTCCCAACTCTTTGTGGGGACAGGAGTGAATGCCAAGAATGGGTCGGGGGCTGGGGTTCGGAGTGAACAGGGGAAAGGGATGAATGCTCCTTGAAAGAACAGAGTCACAAATATGGTCTCACCACAATAACTTGGTTTGGAAGCTACGAAGTCCAGGTTTCAAGTGTTTCAATGTAGTGACTTAAAGAGGACAGAACAACGGCCACAACTACTGGGACATTCCTCTCATCAGAGTGATGGGTCTGAATATCAGATTCAGTGACCACTGTCCACTCACAAGAATTCCTCCTTATATTTTATATGGATGTCATACTTGCCTTTACTGGTCACAAAGCGTGGATGGGGGTTGGGGGTGATGATGTTATCTGCTCCTCCAAACTCACTCTTCCAATTCGCTCCATGCCCCAAATAGGTGCCCCTAATTTGCTCCGTGCCTGAGCGCCTGACTTTACAGACTGAATAACTGGGCTCCCACTGCCTCGGGTTTCTGGTTGAGTTTGGTCACTGGGAGGCCTGATGGCAGGTGGAAAGAGAGGTCAGATCCCCTGCGCCTTTCAGAAACCCTCTACCAGAGATCCGGCTCTCTCGGGCTCCTGAAGGCCACCTGCCTCGTGCCCTACGGGCCCAGGGGTTGTAGTGACTCTCTCCAGGGAGCTCCACCACCCTCACTGGCTCCCATGCGTGTGGCCCTGCCTCAAACCCTTCCCAGTTTATCTGTGTGTGCCATCGGTTTCCTTCTAGGGCCTGACCAGTTCCAGTGACCCTTCCTTAGCCTTGCATCGGTCCTGGTGGCTGGAAGGGAAGCACAGGTGGCTCTGAGGCATTCAGAGATAAACTGTTGATCCCGAAGGTGAAACGAGGCAGGAGAGTACCAACAGAGTGCACTGAAGAATGGTGTAAGTTGTGTTTATAAATTTTAAGCAGCTCAACAAAGTTCTCAGACACATGGACCACAGCTTCTTTCTAAGGAAGCCCACAGAGCATCCTGCTCACTCCCTCCAGTCCTGACCCTGGTGCTCAGCACACACCCACGAGCTGCATCTGAAGACATGACGTAGTCGAACTAGGGCCAAGCGAGTGACGTTTACTTCTAGGACTTGGAAGAAGGATCCAGGCCTGACACAGGCATTTCTGGAGTCCCTAATATGCCAGGCCCTGTGTTGTGCTCAGAGGACAGAAAGGTGAATCAGTCCCCAGGGCCAAGTGAAGAAGGAGTAGCAGTCGCTACCGGGACAATCCCATCAGAGACTGGGAAGGCTCCGCTGACGGCGAGCTCAGTGTCCTTGCAAGCCAGAGTAGCCTGCGCCACCTGGACCAAGAGTATGCCAGAGATCGGCAGGGAGGAGAGGGCATTCCAGTGACTCGACCAGGGCAACCGTCACTCCTGACATTCAGGGCCAGCTGGGATTTGTAGCTCTCTGCTTGTCAGCCTTCAACAGAAGCAAGAAAAGAACATTCTCTGGGGGATGGCAGGCAAGGTGTGAGCCTGGCAGAAGTAATCAGTACCGTGCCCAGCTGTGCTGTCCTCAGCCATACCAGGAGCATCAGGACCCAGAGGGCCCGGTACTCCCTGCGAGGCACTCTGTCTGGGGCACAACTGAGTGCGAGCACATCCTGTTGGGGACACTACCGGTGAGGAGAGAGGGAAAACCCATTGCAGCACCAGCATCTGTGCTGTGAAAAGTCAGGCTCAGCCCGCGTTCCGAGGACAGCAACAGACCTAAGTGTTGGGGACGAGGGGAGGGGAGGCAGGCCTCCCAGGGGACAGGCAGCTGGGGAGAAGCACACAGCCAGGGATAGAGGTGGGGGTGGCTTTGTGGGGAAAACCCAACCAGAGTGAAGAGATCCGGTTTGAGCTGCAATGTCAAAGCTAAGCTGCTGCTATGTGACCGCGGAGCATCGCTTCATGTCCCTGGGCCTCCCTGGCTTGTCTATAAAATGGAGATGAAAACGGGCACCGCACTGGGTCACTGTGAGCATCCGAAGAGTGCAAGAAGTGCCCCTAGTGAATGGACGCTGCTTACCGAATGCCTGAACAGCATATGGAGAAGTTGCTCAACATCTTTGTGCTTGAACTCCCTCAACCTACACAACAGCGACGTAACACTACGCATCCTCAAGGGGTTGTTGAGGATGAGGAGCAAGTGGCTCTCAAACTCAAGTGTGCACCATGATCCCTGGAGGGCTTGATCAGACGGAGCGAGGGATGGGGGCGGGGAGGGGGGTGGAACACTTCCCCCGAGTTTCTGATCCAGGAGGTTTGACATGGGGGCCTGAGGACGGCCTGCACCAGGTGATGCTGATGCTGCTGGTCCAGGGACCACACTTGGAGAACCACTGCTCTAGCTAAGTGCTTTGAAGACTGTTGGGTAAAAACTCAACCAGATGTTAGCTGTGAT